CCAGGCCCCCCCCCAGAGTCTGCCTCCCCCTGAGAGTGAGACAGTCCCCCCTCCCTCCTCCAGAGGTGTCTCCCATCAGTCTCTCAAAGGAAGGTCTCCCCCACCCTCCCCTCTTCCTGGTGGGACCCTCCTCCTCCTCCTCCTCTATTAGCGGCTGGGAGCGATGGGCCCTGGAGTCCCTCCTGACGGCCTTCCTCCTCCTCCTCCCCCTGGCAGTCCATTTCCTGTACCAGGAGAAGTCCGAGTGCCGCTTCCTCAACGGGACGCAGCGGGTGCGGTTCCTGGATCTGTACTTCTACGACCGGCAGGAGATTCTGCGCTTCGACAGCGACCTCGGAAGATACGTGGCCGTCACGGCGTTGGGGGAGGCGCAGGCGGACTATTGGAACAGCGATAAGCACTGGATGCAGGAAGAGAAAGCCGCTGTGGATTTCTTCTGCCGACGCAACTACGGGGTGTTCAACTACGAGGCGGCCAAGAGGGAGGAGCGAATGATCCGCCGGAGAAGTGAGTCCTGGGGGTGGGAGGGTCTCTTGTTCCCTGGGAGGGGGAGGTCGGGACCCCGCTTTCCTTTCCTGGCATCCACTAGGGATTCTCCTCCCGGGTGACGGTTCCGCCTCCTCCTTCTTCCTTCTGCCCTCTCAGAGCTCCGGAATCTCCCTCTTCTCCCCAGGATCCGAACTCTCCTCCTGTCCGGGATCTGGGATCCCTTTGATCCCCCCAGGAAATTCACCCAAATCTATGATTTTCTTCTTTGGGGGAGGGAAATCCAGCCAGGTCTCCCTCCCTCCCTCCCTCCTGCTCCATGCAGGCAGTCCTCCACTTAACAACAGTTCCCTTAGTGACCGTTTGAAGTCATAAGGGCAGTGAAAACAATCACTTCTGACCCTTTTTCACACTTACAACCATTGCAGCCTCCCAGGGTCCCCTGAGCCAAATCCAGGTATTTGGCCACTGACTCATACTTGTGACAGTCGCAGCATCCCAGGGTCCCCTTGATCCCCTTTTGCTACCTTCCATGGGGAAGCAGGGTTCACATAACAACCGTGTTGCTCATTTAACAACTGCAGTGATTCACTTAACGACCGGGGCAACAAAGGTCACAAAATGAGGCAAACCTCATGGAACAAATGCCTCACTTAACAACAGAGATTCTGGGCTCAATCGTGGTCAGAACTCAAGGACTGCCTGGATATTCATCTCTTTCTTTCTCTCACTGATTCCTTTTTATCCTCTTCAGGAACCGCCCGTTTCCCTCCCTCTTTCCATCCAGAAGCCCCTCCCTCTCACTCTATTATTTTTTGCAAAAAGTTTTTTATTTTCTAATCATTTAAATACTTCTTTGCAAGGACAGTGTGGTTCCGGGTGTTTTACACTTTAAATCAATCCTGTCCATGATCACAAACACAACTTTCTAACATCACATCATTATCTATTGTCATATTTTCTTCTTCAAATTCTCATAAATTACTTCATATCAGCCTTTTTTATTTTTGTTCATTCTCTATCTTCCTTAATCATATATTCAACATGTTTACAGTTCAATCTATTGATATCATTTCATTTATCATTCAAAGTTTCCTCTTAATTTATAGTTATCCCAAGATACATTTTCCATCTTATTTTCTTTTAGCCAATATTGTCAGATTTACAGCACTATATCCTCATTACCTTATACAAATATAACTGAATATAACAGAATATTTAATTCATTCATTAAAAATTTATCTATCTTCCTTAATCCTATTTTCAACAAGTTTACACTTCTTATTTTTACATAAATACATTTTCCATCTTATTTTCTTTTAGCCAATATTGTCAAACTTATAGGAATATATCTTCATTTCGTTATACATGTCGATAATAAAATATTTCATGAAAGATATACTATCATTCTTGTGCTCAGCATGTTAACAATTTCATACCATTCATTAAGCATTCAAAATTTCATCTTAATTTATATTATCTCCTATTATGTCCCCCCCCCCATTATTACACTTGCCACTGTTGCATATATTTTATTTTCTATATATTCCCTTCCCTCTAACATCTCATTTTTACTCAAATAACTCTTCTTTTAGCCAATAATACCAAACTTGTAACATTATGACCTCATTAACTTATATTTATATATAATTAACAAAATATATTTTTCTGTCTTCTGCACAGTAGTGGATTTTTAGGCTATGCACATGCAGATAGATAAACTCAACAAGATGTCCATAACAAAGTACATTCATTGGTTAATTCGGTATCCTCATAAATCACATTTGTGATGAAGTTCTTCTTTAATGACCAATCCTTTGCATATCTGCCTTGTAATAAAAGATGGTTATCTCCTAACCCATCTCCTAGCGATAGAAAGCAACTGCCATGAGTTAGGGAGTTCAGGCAAAAAAGGAAAACTCCCCCAACCCATCAAGGGTCAATTTAATGACCAATCAGGATTACAGATGTGGTCAGGTGATATGGACTACATTTCCCAGGGTACCTTAACTACATTTACCATGATGCATTCCCTTAAAGGGACAGCTCACAATTGCTACCTAACTATCCAATTCCCATACACTGGCTGGACAGCACATATATAATTCATTAAAAATATTATACTACTACATGGTTATATCTATTCTCTGTCAGGCTCCAGAAAACATTTCTTTCCATATTTTATCTACTAATCACTTAGATCTTACATAAACATTTGTCTATCTTAATTAATCTATTATAAGTTCTTATTTTCATATCTATTACATTTAAATAATTCCTCCTTATTCTAATTCTTAATCCCATCTCCTCAAAATCTATTATATATGTTTTACTACAAATATACCTCATCATGTGGAGTCTCCCTCTTTTCCAC